TCTTTTTTATATTTTTTCGAATATTGCACTTGTTTTTTTTTTTTTTCTTGGCCGCTGTGAATTCTGGGTTTGTTGCGCATTTTTTTTTTTTTTAGCAACCATTGTATTTCATAGAATGTGGCTTCATTTTTTTTTTTTTTTTTTTCTATAAGCGTTTTAAAGTTGATCAATTTTTTTTTTTTTTTTTCTCTGGTTTGTCACGTCAGGCGCGCCCTTGACGTTTTTTTTTTTTTTCTTCATACATAGACATGAAAAGACATCTAATGTTTTTTTTTTTTTTTTCTTCATTGCGATGTTGGCACGTGTATTTGAATTTTTTTTTTTTTTTTTATTAATTACGTTTGGGTTCATAGGTGGAATACGTTGCAGAAAAATCCAAGCTTTCGTTCCAGCTCCCCTCCATAAACCTTTTTTTTTTTTTTATAACATGAATGATATCAGTTGACTTCAGTTGTTTTTTTTTTTTTTTAAGGATCTTTGCAATCTTCTAATGCATGCAGACAACAATTGCAATGCCGCAGAATCTCCCAACTCTTTACCAGAGTGACCTTTTTTTTTTTTTTCTTATGATTGGCTAATCCATATAGCAAAGTAACTTTTTTTTTTTTTTATTGGAATTCCGGTATATTTGGCTTCCCAGTGCCTCCGAATGGACTGAGTCGAGAGGATCTGGGAGCGAAAGCGGAATGGTTTTTTTTTTTTTTCACAAAATTAATCACATGGTTTATAAACTAACATTTTTTTTTTTTTTGAATATTAACAGGTCCATTGTACGACTGACTGCGCATTGCGAACCATATTCGAAAAAAAAACAGCGAATTTATAGAATTATTTTTTTTTTTTTTCACTTATGTGATAAAGATATTCTTGCACTTAATTTTTTTTTTTTTTTGAGTTTTTGGTGATATCGAGGGTTGATATGAAGTTTTTTTTTTTTTTATTATTAATAAGGACGATTTTGCCTTTTTATTTCGAAAAAAAGTATTTACAAAACTGACGTAATAGAGAGACCATGAAGTTTTTTTTTTTTTTTTGTTGACGAAGGATAACTGCAGAAATTAATAAATTTTTTTTTTTTTTTGAAATATCAAATAGATAATACGAGCTAGCGGCTATAATTGTAAATAATAATATTTTGGTTTGGGAGTCAATAGAACGAATTTTTTTTTTTTTTGAAATTAAATAGCAACAGGTAACAAAAATCCATTTTTTTTTTTTTTTAATAGCTCTTAGATAATTGCTTTTAATTCGTTGTTTTTTTTTTTTTTAGGTTTTAAGTGTTTATTATATAAAAATTGGGTTTTTTTTTTTTTTTATAGGTCAACTTCAACCCAAGTCAACAATGAAATTTTTTTTTTTTTTGTCAATCAAAACAGTTCTTTTGGTCACCTGTATTTTTTTTTTTTTTTCGTTTAAAGGTTTGTCAATATTTAACCAAAATGATAATAATAGTGATTCTATTGTGAAAAAAAATATTAATTCCTACATATTTTTTTTTTTTTTTAAAAATTCGTTGACGCGAAGAGCATACTTCGCTTTTTTTTTTTTTTGTCGTGCGTAGATAATTGGAGACTTTCACTCGTTTTTTTTTTTTTTTAGTTTTCATTGTCCTGTGAAAATTGACATGAAATTTTTTTTTTTTTTAAAGATATAACCTATATATCTTGTGCCTTTTGTTTTTTTTTTTTTTTATCCCATGACCCTTTGCAGGTAGTACAGCGATTCAGCCCTAGCCTCATAGGCAGGCAACTCTTTCTTCCTCCTTCGGGCTTCCTTTGGAACGATAATCTTGAACTCTTCTGCCTCCCAGAAAGAGACAGGAAGCCCGTGTTTCTGAGTTATGTGGAGGAGGCTAATTCAACCTCACAGTGCAATTCCTATCTACAACAAACCTCATCCCCAGTCTTGTAGGTTTTTTTTTTTTTTAAATGCACATTTACAAACAATTGAGATAAACACTTTTTTTTTTTTTTGTCTGGATGTCCTAAATATCAATGAATCAAGTCTTTTTTTTTTTTTTTCTGTGTAAATTAAACATTTTTTATTCACAACATTTTTTTTTTTTTTTTATATCTATAGCTCGGTCAAAGCCAGTTGATTTTTTTTTTTTTTTTGAAGAACAAGGTAGGGTTTTCACCTTTCACGGTTTTTTTTTTTTTTTCTTAATTAACCAACCTATTTCCATTCATTATCATTTTTTTTTTTTTTCGTTCGTAAAGCCGAAGCGGCTGCGTCTTTAGCTTTTTTTTTTTTTTTCAAACGAACTCATAAAACGTCTGACGAGATGAAAATTAACAAACTAGGATCAGAGATTGAGGAGGACTCATCGCTGAAGTTTTTTTTTTTTTTTAAGAAAGTTAACCTATTGATGAATCACATTGGTTTTTTTTTTTTTTACGATGAAGGTGCGTTATCATGACGTTGCGTTTCCACTGCGCTAAGAAACGTTTTTCATTCTTTTACGCAGTGTTTTAGGTTTTTTTTTTTTTTTATTTTACTACATCACGTTTTAAAGCAGCACTTTCATTGTATTTCGTTACGTTACAGCAGCCGTAAAAAACGGATAAAAATTTTTTTTTTTTTTCTGTTTGCATTGTGGAAACGTAATATTCGTAAATTTTTTTTTTTTTTAACGATTCGATTGGGTTGATTCTTGATTCTAACAAGGAACCAATCAGAATGCACGTATTGTATTGTGATGCATGATGGGATTTTTTTTTTTTTTAATGGTCTCCATCTCCATCAAGTTGAATAACATTTTTTTTTTTTTTTTAACTAAAACACTGATTTAAAAGGGCTAATACTTGATCATATATAGATAAGTTAAAGCGTCAAAACGCCATGCAGGGGCGTTTTTTTTTTTTTTCAAATGCGCACGTGCCACCCTCAAAAAACGGGGTTTTTTTTTTTTTTAAAAGATCTCTTAACACAACTGAAAGTTCTTTTTTTTTTTTTTTTTTTATTTAAGTTTTGACTGCCAACGTAGGTTCACTTAATAAAAAAAGGCAATATTCTGATTGGACTAATAGCTCATTAATAATTTTTTTTTTTTTTACCTAAAAAAAAAACGCCTAGCCACGTCCCTGCTTTTTTTTTTTTTTTGGTAAAGTAGTTTAACTCATATATAATCCCATTTTTTTTTTTTTTTATCAACTGTGTAAGATTGCTAAAAGAATATCAATTTTTTTTTTTTTTAGAATTGTAAAAAGTAGATATAAGATAAAGGAAAAAAGAGGCTTAATCCCACAAACCCATGAGACAAGAAGACGAGTCACTTTTTTTTTTTTTTGAATTGGAAAGTATGCACTGATGTCAAATTACATTTTTTTTTTTTTTTCATAAATTGTTGGACGATGTGTGACGTCAGAGTTTTTTTTTTTTTTTTGACTAGCAGCTCTTAACCAATAGTAAACGTATTTTTTTTTTTTTTACTTAAATAAATGATAAATTTATGATATTCACATTTTTTTTTTTTTTAATATGAGCAATCGCGCGCTTATTGGTAGCTCTTTTTTTTTTTTTTTCGCTTACAACCATCCTGGACAAAAACAAGAGTTTTTTTTTTTTTTTTAATCGCTGAATGTTGGAAAATCTCCGTAAAAAGTTGCGTTTTAATAGAGAGCGCACATACCTGTTGTATTCTGTTTTAGTTTTTTTTTTTTTTTTTTGGGGCAGGGATAGAGGGCACGTAAACTGACTTTTTTTTTTTTTTTATTCTCAACCTTTTTGTCCAGGATTCTAGTTGTTTTTTTTTTTTTTTGGATTTTAGAATAGTAATTAAGAGTATTAGCCTTTTTTTTTTTTTTAATTGGCTCATTTGATTGCATGCTTACGTCTTGTTTTTTTTTTTTTTCACTCCACCATACGAGTTAAAGAACACAGGGTTCATAGAAAACCAAGTTTATCTCATCTAATGGGTATGACTGAACTAGGAGACATCGGTAATAACAACAGTCCATCCGCGTATAAAGAGGACACCATTTTTTTTTTTTTTCTAGCATTGGAGGCAGAAGAAGAAAAGAAATACTTTTTTTTTTTTTTAGGGAGTCAGTGGGAGGACGGGCCTGCAGGAGGCTCAAAAGGAGGGAGCTGGTCTACTAATATACAGAGACAGGACGCTGTTTTTTTTTTTTTTCTTGTACTGAATTAAGAGAAACATCTACTTACTTTTTTTTTTTTTTTCCCTGAAGAGAACAGATTGGTGGCCATGTTACTGGTGTAAAAATAGATACTAGTGTGAATTCCAACATGGCCGCCATTACTTTTTTTTTTTTT